ACCATCTGTGAAGGTTGTTGCCTTTCTGGGCGGCAATTTGACGCTAACTTGTCTTGCTGCTGGTGATCCACAACCTGTCATGAGCTGGAAAAGACAAGGAGCGCAATTGCTAGTTGGGCGGAGTCACGTGTCAAAAGAAGCGCTGATCATTAACAGCGTAAAGCTGGAGGATGCTGGGAACTACACCTGCGTGGCCACAAGTGCAGGAGTGTCCAGCGTTGAGCATACAAGTTACATTAAAGTCACGAAGCCAGGTTGGTTTAGTATTACGAAAATAGTTTTGGGAATTTGCTCTGTACTACTTCGAGTAAACCAAACCAAATATATAAACAATGGCCTCCATTTGACGCAAAAATATGCTCGGATATTTCTCCGTGGACATTATCTGTTCCGAGAAGCGAACAGGTTCGTGAGGTTTGGGGAACAGCTAATGTTCAAGGGTAACTATCCAGCCAAATGGAGGCTATTAACTTTGTTATCCTTGAAATATTTTTTGCATCACGCGGGTTTTTCCGGAAATTGGGGAACGTATATCTCTCGGATGTCATCTAGTTTTAGCTGAGGAATATTCAGTCACGTGACGCGTTTAGAAAATTCAGCTGGCAAACCATCAGTCCCAGGGGTCTTTCCTGTTCCCATATCTTTGAGTACCACCAGGCATTCTTATTCGGTAAGCGCTCCTTCACACGCAGTTAGCACATGTTCATGGATAGCGCTTTCATCTTTACGCTCAGGAAAACGGTTTGTATCACTTTGGTCGTATGTCATGCTTTTGGATGAATAGAGGTTTTTGTAGAAAGACATGCATTCAGTTATGATTTTTTCATTTGAGGTGACCAGCTCCCTGTCATTTAGTTTAATTTGACTAATTGTCCCTTGCTTGTAGTGTCGTTTTTCCAAATTTAGAAAATATTTGGTGTTTTTCACTCGTTCATTATACCATCTAGTCTTGGATCTCAAAATTGCGCCTTTAGTGCGAAATTCAATAATCTTCTCAAGCTCAAGTCTACTTTCGTTCGCTCGTTCCTCCAGGTGTGAGGAAAGCGTGTCNCTTGGATCTCAAAATTGCGCCTTTAGTGCGAAATTCAATAATCTTCTCAAGCTCAAGTCTACTTTCGTTCGCTCGTTCCTCCAGGTGTGAGGAAAGCGTGTCACCAGTATTTCTGTTGTCAAGTTGCTCTTGCAATCTGGCAATTGTTTGTTTTACATATATATTCGCGTTGTTTGGCCTGTTTCGTTTTAATTTTAGAGTAGCGGAGCGATTTCTCGCGCACTTTTAGCTTTATCATTTCCCAAAGGAGAGAGTGATTGACTGATTCATCGTTTTAATTTCATACTCATCATACGCTTCCTGAATCGTTGTTTTCATTTGGGTACATTCTCCAATTCAGTTAAAAAAGATGTATTTAATCGTTCCAGAAACCCGGTCCGCGTGGATTTGAATGTAGTCATAGAATGGTCCGTTTTATAGCCAGGGACGATATCTGTGAGAGTCGTAATTTTAACCGTGCTTTGGCTTACTAAAAAGAAATCGAGTCTACATTTTATTCTTGAATGACGCTGTCTCCACGTGAAAGTACTAGTATCAGGGTGTAAAACCCTCTGCACGTCCACCAAATCTAATTTCTCAGAAAATTCGTGAACGATTTTAACCCTGTTTTGGTGAGTTTTGGCAAGGCCGCCTCTCTTGTCCTTATCCAGATCGAGTCCTATCCTATCCTATATCTCTTTATGCCATAAGGCACATAA